AGAGAACTTCTTCAAAATAAAAGGGGATCCTGTTAAATGTATTCACTCGCCCGTGGCTGCTGTGGCAGAGGTGTGTCTATCAAACAGGTGGCTCTTAATACAGGAAGGGCCCTATAGTAACAAGTAGATGCTCTACTGTTTTATTGTAGTGGCTTCAACTTTCTGGTGTATTGGTATGAATTGCAGGAGTTTTCCTTTTAACCTCTCTTAGGGCACCACTCCCTCCCATGTCCTGGCTCTGTCCACGTATACGTGGCACATTACTGAAGCAGCTGGTTTCAAACCTTGATTCAGGGGACTTGATAGGAACTCGGTTATAAGGTTAATTTAAATTGGACTGCATCAATCCCCACTGGTTTTCAAATTACATGAAACCATCACCCCAATATACCTTTAATGATAAAAGGAGTTTTTTTCCACTAGCAATTTCCAGATTTTGTGGTAGCAATAAAATAGTTTTAGTCATTTTATTTATTACACTAATGCCCATTCTGCTGACCTTTGAAAATATTATAGTTTAGCGACTAAGAGTCATAAAAACAGAGACCTCTTTAATGTTCTGTGTAGTTAAGTGGAATTTTTTGATATTTAAATATCTTGAAAGAAATTCAAGACTATTGGCTTACACAAAACAAATAACCTTCAGGAAGATTATAGTTCTTAACTATTTTGTGTAAAAAGGCCCTATAAATGCAGAGAAAAATCATCCATATATGTATTGGCCTCTGAGAGTAAGTAACACAGGCAGAGAACATGTAGGCCCTTCCCTTGAATCTAATTCCTGTATCCTAAGTCTCTAAGAGACCTCCAGAACGCATCTGTGCAAAGCACAGTGACCAAGACCACAGAAAAAAATACCACTGTATATCCCTTCTACCTCGTGGATGTCAAAAAATGATGCAGACTGGGGTTCATCTGAGCTACTTCACTCAGGTGGGTGGGGCAGGGGGGAGTTATTTGCAATGCATAAACTTTCGAAGGCTGACAACAGCTCATCATCTGACCTGCAAGTCAAAAAAGCAGACTCGATACACAGCTGTGCTTCTTTTCACAGTAGGATAATTACATAAAATACGTTTTGAAAGTCAGTGAGTTTTTATTTACACAGTGTTTGGTAATGACCTCCTGAAAAGTAATTACAATCTTCGTGTCAAGCCTTACAAGTGCTCTGAGCATCATAAATGCCATGGGTGATAACATGATTACGATGATAAAGACGGGCCGTGGTTAGGGTGGCTGTCAGGTTCGCTGGTCCTCGCCTTGCCACGCTTGCTCTTTAACTTCGCCTACCTCTGCATGGTGAATATTCTTTTAGGATCGTATAAGATAAAATGAGATAATGTATGAAATCACTAGGCGGGGTGCTACTGAAATACAGATTACTTTGTGATGAGGCTACAATTATCACAGTAAGTGTGGTGGGAAAGGGGGGCTGCTTCTGGGCTGTAATGCCTCATTATGATAAGGTAGACGCTATTAGTCAATTACATGACAATAATGTATTGATCAGTCATAAACCTATACATGCTGCTATTGTTTTTGTTATAATACTATTCAAGGTTAAGAAAATGTTTCCTGAAGTTTGTATTGTAACTATGAGCTTCGAGACATCTGGTTGTGTATCATTCTTTGCAATAGAGATTGTGGGTAACATACCATTATAATATTATTTTACTTACACCTTGCTTCCATAAAGGATATGTGGAAGACTAAAGGAACTATATAATATAATATCATTGTCATTATTGTCATTCATTAAGTTCTAGAATTTGTATCCATACTTGAAACATTACTCATAAGAAAGGATACCAAAAAAGCAAGTTGTAAAATCAGATCTCTGAAGGTAATTAAATAGATTAAATTGTGCCTTTCTTTGGCAAGGTCTTTTAGGATGAAATAGCATTTCTTTAGGAACACATCTTTCTGAAAGAGCCTTCTGGTTGCTTTTATTCCTATGTTTTCTCAGAGAAAAACATTATCGAGCCCAGTGACATGTAAGTATAACTTAACATTTTCTATTTTCTGAGATATAATTGAATAGTTATTTTCTTTAGTCTTTACTAACTTTATGTGAATGGTTCCCAATTGTTTTAGCTCTATAAATATTCCTGGTAAATCTACAGAATAATAAAGGTAATAATGACAAACATTTACTGAGTATTTCTATGTGCCAAGCACAGTATTAAGTGCTTAATGAATGTATTTGAGTATTAACTCATTTCAAAGGTTTTTATTTTAAATAGGCTCTGTGGTGACCCATTTTATAAAGCAAATAATACCCTCTGAAAGTTTAGATTGTTATCTACTTGATATATTTAAGCCAGGGCTCGCCTGCAAATTATATATAGACATACAATTCTTGCAAAACAGTTTTAGCTCCAGAAAATCAGCTACAATCTATTTAGCACATAACGTGTGTCAGGCCCGTCCTAAGCACTTTACATAAAGCACCTCATTTAATCCACACAGGAACCCTAAGAGAAATCTTATATCCCTATTTTACAAACAGTAAAACTGGGTTTTAGAGACGTAAGAAACGTGTCCTCTATGTGTATGAGCGAGGATTCAAGCCTGAATCTGAACCTCCAATCCTATTCTTTCTCACCCGTGATGGTGCGAGAATATTTTATGTATCCCTTCGTATTTGGGGATGAGAACTGATTACTCCACACGAAAATATGAAACTGGAAAGCACTGGAAGAGGTGAACACAGGACTGCTTAGCGATGGAGATGAAGGTTAGTATTGTAGCTGTCCGTGTCACAGAGAATGCATGCAGGCCTGGACCTTAGGGATCGCTGCAGACATTAAGGGGGAAGATAATGCAACAGAAACCATGCACCCTGGCACCTGGGAACCTATGAGACAGGCAGTGAAAATGGTGCTCATCCCAGGCAACTGGGTCCCTGAGCCCCGCAGGGAGCACGGTGAGCAAGGGCAGGAGGAGCAGGGTCCCTCCGGTTCCGTGACAGTCCACACCTAGTTCTTTCTTCCTGCTTCCCCGTGCTGCTGACCAAAGGGATTTTCTGTTCTCCTCACTTCAGTGTTTATACAGACCCTCCCACCCTGGCACTGTGCAACTTTGCCAGTAACAACTCATAGAAATGTTTGGGGAGGGAGGGAAAAGCTGGACTGAACTCGTTTGAAACCAGTTGAAAGCAGAGGCTCGTTCCTACCTTTGGCCTCCGTTTTTGCTCCTACCGCCTCCTCTGTTTATGGAGGTGTTTTACCTAATGATCAGGGGATGGACTCAGAATAACCTGGCTGTCCTATGCGACACGTGTAAATGAGAAACACTTCTCAGGGGCATTTTCGACGGCTTCCCCACTGAATTCATCTACAAGCAGACTCAGTAAGAAAGAGCTTGGGGCGAGGGGGGTCCCTCAGGCTGCCACCACTCCCCGAGGCTTTTCCACTCAGAGCTGCCAGAGGACAAATGGCCAACCTGCCTCAGCCACACACGTTGGAACCCAGAGGACCCTAAGCAGACACAAGCTGGTGCAAATCCATCCTGACACAGTGTCACGTTGGCCTGTGCAACACAAAACACCCAGAGTAACACACAAGAGGGGGGACCAGAAGGGACTCGACACCATCCAACACTGCCTCTGGCTCCACCCCAGCCTGTCTTATCATAACCCTGTGCCTTCCCTGTCTTTTCCTGTGTCTTTAATCGACACTTGCCTGGAGGAGCCCGTCATTCCAATCAAGGGAAACGACAGCTAAGATTCTGTACGCGGCACCACTCCCCAACCAAGAGCATGTGACTCAGGAACCCGGCAGTCAGAATGCAAAGCGTGGCACGGTTCTCCCTCCAGCCCTTCTTGGCCTACTCACCCCCACGGAGTCCATCTGTGGCAGGAAATGGGACGGCACTGGGACCCGAGAGCCCTGGCCTATTTGCTGGAGAAGCAAAGCCTTCCCTCCTCCCCCGTTGAAAGAAAGAAAGGAGACTGAACTAATCGAAACCTGCAAGCCTGCTGGTGGGGCTTCAGCGTGGCAGTGGTGCAACTCAGCGGAGTGAGTAACGGCGTCGAGCTTTGCAGAAAAGGAGAGCGGGAGAGAGACAGAGACAGAAACACAAAGAAAGAGAGAGAGAGAGAAAGGCATTAACCTGGCCAGGAGTCACACAGGTGCCTGGAGCCCGACCGCTGGGCAGTGTCTGACCAATACAGGGTCTGACTATGTGCCCCTGGAGGCCACTGTATTTCTGGGGCGGGTGATGCCGTGGTATGTGCAGGGGGGTGAGCTGAGAGATTTATTTCTTATTCACAGGACTCATGTGGTTGGCCGAGAGCCTTTAGGTGGACGATGGGGAGGCTGTTTACCCCACGCACTCCCACCGCGAGCCACAGGTCTCGGTGGTGGCTTTGGCAGAGTGGACGTGTGAGTACTGGGGCCGCCACACGGAGAGCGATAGCAGTGCGCTCTGCAGTTCACAGAAAGGCTGCCCTGGGCTGAGTTGGCCGCTCGGAAGCCACGCATGGCCTTTTATGACTCTTCCAGGCCTCACTGCACCTCAGGTTTGTGATAAAGATCTTAAATGTGCAGGTGCTCTCTCCTGAAGCTGGTTAGCTTGGACTCCTGGGACTTAAAAGCCTTTAGAAATGGGGGGCTGTGCCATGACTGTCATCTGGCTCACAGGCAGGTGTGAGGAAAAGGAAGGAACAAGCAGAGGAAGGCCTGGCAGGAGACCCTCAGGAGAAGGCCCTGGTGATAGGGGCTGTGCCCACCGGGGGGTACAATGCAGCAGGACGCAAACTGGTGGCATGCACTATCGCCTTAGGAAATATGCCATCTCTGGAGCGTTTCTGACTTAAACTGGGAGAATATTTATAACCCCCTAATTCGGAAGACCCAGTCTGCCAGTTGTCAAATCCTGGCCCACTTGCGTCTGAGAGAGAGTTACTGTGAGCACAGGTAAGATAGACGTGGCCCATCCTGCAAGCCCAAGCCCACCCCTGCATGGGAGTGAGTTTTGAGTTGAAGTGTGGTCTTTACCTGAAATACGCCTGGGCACGTCGGTGATGGCAGGGAGCCCGGTGCCCCGTGTGGAAGACAGCGGGGTGGTGGAGTGAATGGACGGGGAAGTCATCTGGCTCAGGTAGGAGGGGTAAGACTGGTCATAGGACCACGGTGGGGAAGACTGTGCCTGCCTGGGGTCTGGGAAAAAGAAAAAAATCTTTAGTATACCAGCTGCTGGGACCTTAGAACACACAACCCAAACAGGACAAAACACACACACACACACACACACACACACACACACACACACACACACGGTCTATTTATTCCTTACAACCCCATCCCCTCAGGCCCTATATAGCACAAACACACACACACACACACACACACACACACGGTCTATTTATTCCTTACAACCCCATCCCCTCAGGCCCTATATAGCACAAAGCTAGACAGACTTTAGGTGTCAAAAAAAGTAACAAAATGAATCACAGGGAAGGACTATTTGTCTCTCACATAAACATGTCTACTTAGAAAGTCTAATAGTCATTAGAAAACAATCTGCTTCAGTTATCTTTGCAAAGCTGAATTCCATTTTATTTGCTTTCTGTACTTCTTAATTTACTCCAGTGAACATGTACTACTTCTTTCTTTTAACGTTTAAAAATTCTTTGAACAATGAACTTAGTGAAGAAACAGGCAGACTGCTGCTTTCTACTGCGGTAGACCCAGCTACTCTTTCAGGCGTGCTTTTTGGCTTTTGGCTTTCATCGTGTGTGATGCCACCATGTTAGCACGGTTCACTTTCTTCCCAGGCAGGTCGGTGGGATGTCACTTGCTAGCACGGAGTTGGGAGCAGAGATGAGAACAGGGTGGGCAGCATGTGAGAAGAACAGAATGGAGGGGAGCTCATGGTAAAATTACTCCAGAAAATAACCTTTACAAAAAGGCAAAACTTAATTGCAAAGTCAACTACTATGAAGAACTGGAAAGCTTCATCACCATCCAGACAATAAGAAAAATGATCCAAAACAGGAGAACAGGGACATGTCTGTAAACCTATTAGAATCTGTTTTAAAAAGGTGTCACGTGTTTGGAATGTGACCTAGTGTTACCTACAGTCACTGTGATAATAAAAATAACAGACAGCCACCTTGTTAGGGTTCACTGCTGACCATCAACGCTATTTTGGGGGGTATCTTTATGGAGTTTCTTGGAGGAACAAACCAAATGGAGGCCAAGCAGATTTATCAAGAGCTTCAGTCTACATATGAAAAAAAATGTAAATTTTCTCTATGTTTCCAGGGCGGAAAAGTGTATATTTCAAACTTTTTATACTTACTTGAGGGCTAATCAAACATAATCACAAGCACATTTCTCTTAACATTTTTTTTCTAGTTTCAAACATTTTTGTTAATTTTAAAAATGTTTGTTAATTTTTAAAATTCTAATATACCAGGCCATTCACAAGACAGCTTTATATATTAGAATATCTATGGATTTTGGAATGTTCAGAATTAGGTTCAGGCTCTGAAACTTCTACTTTCTAACGGTAATCTTGGGTTAATTACTCAGTGACTCTGAACCTCAGTTTCCTCATCTGTAAAAGGGGTAGAGGAATAATAATATCTAAATCACAGGGATGTGATGATTACAGGAGAAAACTATGAATAGAGGACTAGCATAGGAGGAACTCAGTAAGTATTAATTTTTCTCTTTAAAAAAAAACAACTCTTTGTAACACTAGGGTAGTTCCATGGTTAAAACACTTCTGCATTGGAGTTAATAAATTTGCAATAGGTTTTAAATTATGCCTACATCACCTGTCAGCCTCTGAATATGAAAAGCTTATTTTTCAAAAACTATTAAAATATTTGGATAGTCAATTAAAGTTTATTTCTAAAAAAATGAGAATAACAAGACATAGGTTTTTCTGAGATGATTCCTCTTTTTAAATACTTCAAGTTTTTCTCTACAAAGTCATCTAGTTTCAGCTATTTCTTGTTTATTTGTTCAATTCAGAAACAATTTATTTAAAGACTGTCTAAATAGGACATACTTTTCTTGAGTCAAAATAATTAAACACATCTGGATATTTATCTGATATTTACTCTATCAACAAATATATAGAAAAAATTCATCCTATTCCATTTTAAGAAACATTTTTACCTGAGTTTGCAATTTGAATAAAAGTATATTAGTGTAAATGGTGACCATAAACTTTTCCTTCAGAAATCTGAAGGATACTTGATCGTTAAAGTAATGAACCTTTGTACTTTAAAATGTTCAAGGCTGAGATTGTATAGATTGGCAGCATTTCAAATCTGAGTGAGTGGTCCTTGTTATATATCTGATACTGACTTCCTTGCTTTAACCGTTAATGTAATTCACTATTCAGAGAAATGGGAAATGATCTTCAGATGGGAAAAGACACATTCCTTACAGCACCAGAAGCAACATTTTCAATTGACACAAGGGTCAGGAACCACAGAGCTGAGTTGGGCACAGAGGGACTCATATTTGGGTTTGAGTTCTACTCTAACGTCACCAGATGACTTCCTGAGCAAAGTAGTGTGGCCTGAATGTCCATTCCTCTCCTGTGACATGTTGTCACCAGTAGTATTGGGGCTCCATGCCCCCAAATGGGGGGAAAAATACAAAGAAATGTAAAGAGTGACTAAAATTATTAAAGTTAAACATATCACAAAGGAATTGGGGAACTTAACTTGGATGTAAGATACAGCCTTTCTCTTAAAAAAAACAAAAAACTCGTGGTGACACAGGGATAGTTCCCTGGTTAAAACAAGTCTGCATTGGAGTTAATACATTTGCTATAGATTTAAAGCTATTCCCACATCACCCAGTCCTCCTCGTGCAGAAAGGCAGCCCAGTGCCAGGAAAACAAGTGAGGAAAGGATCCGAGTTGGAGTCCAGCAGGTTTAATAATATTATCTCAGAGCGTTGTAAGCATTAAATAATATAGAGTGGGTGCAAACCCTCATTATAAGCTGTATGAACTCAGCTGTGTTATCATGCTCTCTGTACCTCAGTTTCCCTGCGTGGAAAACGAGGCAGCATAATATGGTAGAGCGAATACAGCAAGGGGAGTTACGTGTACGTGGCTGGGCAGAGCTCCCCACTGCACTAACCAAAGCACTTAAACTTTGGGTGCCTCAATGGCTCATCTGGAAAATGAGAATAATGATACTTATTAGGGTTGCTGTGAGCAGTACATGAACTAGGCCTTACATGATAAGTCATCTGATACTCCTGGCAATATTAAGTGTATAATATCTAGAAGTGATTATTGCTCTCTGAAAAATGAATATAATAATAACTACTATCATTCTGTTTACAAAATTAGATGAGATAATATAAGTAAAAACATTTGAGTAACTGGAAAGTGCTATATTGAAACTTATTCTCTTTAGGAGCGCACATCATCAAGGCCCTGCTGTGTGATTTGGGGTATGTTTCTTAATGTTGCTGAACTTTAATTTCCTCTTCTGTAAAACAGGTTTGATAATATCACATTGTTTGCGGGTAGTTTTTATCGCGCGCTAACAGGTGGCGCGGGCCATTTTTGCTAATTTTTTGCGCAAATGGCAACGTTCAGTAAAATTACGATAACTTTAGTTTTACATATTTATACGTTACCCGCATTCTACCGCTAGTCTATAAAAAACGTATTAATACGTGTCCCGCGCTCTACTACACTGGTAGAACATATAAATACGTAAAACGTATAAATACGTTTCCCGCATACAATATGATATTATCTCAGAGAGTTGTGTAAGCATTAAATAATATAGAGTTGGTGCAAATCATCGTTATTATTCAAAAAATTAAAAATCTGACTCTAAACTATGCAGTGTGGCTGGGTTGCCTAGTGTTATTCGTGAAGATTTCCAAGAACACATTCAGCATAATTCAGTATAATGCCTGTCACACAGTAGGTACTCAATAAACCACCAGTGAATGAAGTTTCCAAGGTGGCCTGAGAGTGAATAATGGAATTTTACAAGAAGTAGTGGTCATTTTCTAACTTCCCCTATAAAAGCAGTTGTGTCAGTGAGGTTTTAGCTTCTACATAAACTTCCTGTCAGAACAGTCTATTAAAGGATAGTTTTACTTAGTGGGGGTCCTTCCTGAAGATATCTAAGATTAGCCAAAATAACTTCTCACTATCCCTGAACAACTGAGAAGATCTCGCTGCGTTTTGGGGGTGCTTTGTCTCTCAGAGGGCAGGCTGCAGTCCAGCCAATCTCTTTCAAGGCCACCATCACCATCCTAAGATTCTATAATAATGACCTACTTAAGAAGAGAGAGTTACTAAAGAAAAATAGAACACAAGAACTGCCAAGTGGAGATCACTAGATTTGAGTATAAGTAATTTTAAAAGGGACAGCAATCTTTTTAAAAAAATTTGTTTCAATTACAGTTGACATAAAATATTATATTCACTTCAGATGTACAATATAGTGATTAGACATTATGTAACTTACAAAGTGATCCCCCCAATAAGTCTAGTACCCAACTGACACCACATACAGCTATTACAATATTACTGGCTATATTCCCTGTGTGGGACGGCAATCTTAACAAACACATAATGGTCTCTAAAGACCCTAGGCCTTCCCTAATATTCTGTGAAGGAACCATTAGTCATCAATCCCAGCTCCACCATTTCTGGCCTGGGTGATCTTGGACAAATTATATAACCTACCTGAGCTTCAAGCTTCCTAATCTGTGTAATGGAGATAGACCTCCCCACTAAGGTTGCTATGAATGAGATAATGTAATAAAAAACTTAGCACATGGAAAGAACCCAATAAATGTTCCCCACTGTTAAAACTTACACCTTTACTGAACCTTCATTCTGTATTTAGGTTTCCAGCCCATGAACTCTAACTCTAGCAGAGGACAATTACTAGGAAGCTTCCTATAGTTTTGAAGTTCACTATTTGGAGAATATATCTGTGTTAGTCACGTCAGTACCCAATGCAATCATTTAACCTTAATCATGTTCTTTCTTAGTCTTGGTTTCTCTAAGACCAAGAAATCTTAATCTCTTTTAGTGCATTTTCTAAGACTGTACACTTTAACTTTTTTCAAAATGTTAGGGGAGAAAAAATGGCTCTAAAATACCTTGACCTCCAAATGCCCAATCACCAAGAAAGTAGAATTCTATTATAAAT